GAGGCGGAGTGTTGCGCACAAAATTCAGGTCCCTGCAGCCAAGGTCAAGGTCACACATAGAGGTCAAAGTTTAGATAAAAATATGAAGATGTGTATAGGGACTATTTAATCATCATTTATTGAGGGATTGTAACACAAATGATCATTTATCATGACTACGGCTGTGACACATGTACTTTAGGTCAATATATGCAAGGTCAAGGTCACTAAAGATGGTGAAATATCCAGATTTTGTCTGGAGCATATCTCCTACATGTATGGAAGAATTTTTATAATACTTTATGGAAATGTTCACCACCATGATATGTATTGCTCCATGCATGATCCAGGTCTCCAGGTCAAAGGTCAAGGTCACACTTAGAGCTCATTGAAAAAACGCTTGTCCGGAGCAAAACTTCTACATTCATAGGGGGATTTCAAATATAACTTGGCACAAATGTTCACCATTGTGAGGCTGAGTGTCGCACGCAAAATTCAGATCCCTGCGACCAAAGTCAAGGTCACACATAGAGGTCAAAGTTCAGATAAAAATTTGAAGATGTGTATATGGACCATTTAGTCATCATTTATTGATGGATTGTAGCACAAATGGTAACTATCATGACTACAGGTGTGACACATTTAATTTACGTTAATATTTGCAAGGTCAAGGTCACTGGAGATGATTAAATATCCAGATGTTGTCCGGAGCATATTTTCTACATGCATGGAGGAATTTTAATGTTACTTTATAGAATTGTTCACCACCATGAGACGTAGTGCCCTGCACATGAACCAAGTCTCTAGGTCAAAGGTGAAGGTCACAGTTAGAGCTCATAGAAAAACGCTTGTCTGGAGCAAAACTTCTACATGCATAGAGGGATTTCAATATAATTTGGCACAAATGTTCATCATTGTGAGGCTGAGTGCCGTGCATAAAATTCAGGTCCCTGCGACCAAGGTCAAGGTCACACATCCTGTGCATATCTTCCCTACTGATTTGTTTTAAGGTTCATTTAACAACACAGAATAAAAACTTGCTTGCTAGATAACACTTATCCATAATGCCCCCATCTCCATCTAAAGCTTTCGTAAACGGGCGTATTTTGTGACTATGGCACCCTTGTTAAAAATTCAAATGTTCTTTATATTTAATCATTCTCAGTAAAAAAAGGTTCAAATCACTTAACAATTATTCAGTATTTCCTTGGTAGTGGGGAAGTAAATGTACTTGAATTAAATTCCCCAACCTTAGATTAATTTTGCTTTGCATTCTCCAATAACATATTAAATTTAAGTATAAGACTGTTAATGATTACCATATGTAACTAAAATGTATAGACATAATAGATTTATCTATTTATCAAGCATTTGAACAAGGACATGTTCATCACTAAGAGCAGTTATCATTTAACTGTGTAAAATTATAAAAGTATGTCTAGTACCTAAATTACACATCAGCTACTGATAGGTCATTAAAGGGAAAATACATGATACACACAAAATGCTACTTCAACAAAGTTACTGTATGGTATTAAAGATAACTTTTTTCTAATTTGTTCACAAATATACTATAACCATTAAAGATGATATATCAGTTTTTTCATGCTTCATGTTGTAGGAATAACCTCCCTTATACCAATAAGCATGTCTTATTCATGCATAATCCCTCATGTACAGACTCAGTCAAAACGAGTCTGCAATTTTCATATAATTTTGTTGTGATTAATGCTTCCAAGGGATCATTTTGTTTCCAGTGTTTTTTTACAAAAATTAGTGTACATTGTAAATATCCAACAAAAATTACTGAAGCCTTACATTATGTCTACCTCAACAAAGTTTCCTACATCTATAGCTGAGGGCCGCCAGCAGGGCCAGTTCTTTGGGGTCATGCAGGGAATTAGGCTGGCTCTGGGGTAGTGAGCGCCCTACACTGAGAAACCCTCAGTTGACTGGGGTGCCGAGATACTGGTTTAAGAGTTCCTTTTCTTGTATCAGTGACACCCAGTATCCTCTTTGTAAATGTATTTTATAACAAGAAAGTTAAGTGTTGATGTTATTCCATTTATTTGCTTAAGTGATGCAAAGATAAAATAATAATATAATCCACATAATATAGTTTCACAGCTAGAACCTGAATTAGCTTCAGTTATTGTAAAATTGTAAGTTTTGATAATTTGTATAATTTGACTTGATGTTACTTATTTTATATAGTAGTCGAAAATTCAGAATATTTAGACTCTTGCTCTTCAAAATTAGTTATAATTAAGACCAATTTAAGATATAAAAATCAACAATATAAATTGAGAAAATTTTGTCATAGTAATTAAGCCTGAAGCTATATTAGCAACAAGTACAAATGTTGCTGCAATGCAGCAATTGAGAAGCTCCGTGCAAAAAAATGTGCTCATTACAGATACCTTACCAAATTATTCCTACGCACAGGTCAATATTGTTATATTCAGATTAAGTACTAATGTAGATTTTTTCCGAATGTTTTGTAATATACCATTTTTTGCATAATTATACTTATCTTATGTACTGTACATAATTAAAAAGAGGGGCCAGATATTTAATTTGAAAAAAAATGCTTTCACTGATGCCTACCTAAAAGGAAGTACATTGAATACAAACAAGACTTACAAGACTTGTAAATGTTATGTGACATGACTGTACTGTGTTCTGTTTGTGTCACTACTCAAAGTCAAAGTCAAAAAACATTTTATTCTCTCATTCCATGTACAAACATGACATAATGGAGTAATAAACATGAATAAAGTATAATGAGGCTCAAATAGCAGTTAATTAACATACTAGCAAAAAATATAATACTGTAGTTGATAAAAATATCAAAGTCTGTTTTTTATTATTATAAATGTAAAAAATATACAAATAGTGATAAAAATATCAAAGTCTTTTTTTATTATTATAATTGTATCAAATATACAAATAGTGATAAAAATATCAAAGTCTTTTTTGGCGTCCGCGCCGAAGCGCGGCGCCTTTTATGTAATGAAATCAGATTTTGTGAAAGGGCGACAGCAACTTCTCGAGCCTTTTATAGTTGTACATAATAAAAGCCGATCATTCCGATCGGTATGAGGGTGCTTGATTATTAATTAGTCGCGATTTGTACAATGAATAGCGAACTGGAGAATTTCGCAATGCAAACATTTTCAAATTAGAATCTAAATAACCTTTTCCGTCAATAAATCGCGCTCTTTCAATGTATTTCTATTTATCATTTTGTAGTACACAGTGGATTATTATGGTATGTTATTCCGAAAGCTGTAAATAGAATGATGAGTTTGATGACCTAAATATTCCGAAAATCTATTTATAGATGGATGTACTCCTGTCGGTAAATCCCGGTCTCTCCTGGTCTATTTTGACGACCGGCGAATAGTACCACACGTTTATTGTCCGGTCTCTCCCGGTTTTGGAGTAGATGTTTGATATCGTTACAGAACAGAACAAATATTTTTACAGATAAACACGGATTTATTAATATAAATCCGTGAGATAAATAAGCTTTTTTTTTTCAAAATGAATGTTTGTCACTTAGATTGGTTACAATAATTAAGAAACACAGATCAACTCTCAAAGTTATTGATTATTATTATAGATAAACATACAATTCGAAAAAAAAACCCAACAACACACATCGCATGTTTTATTTTATCTATATGAGATAAAAACAATAAATATGTACAATAATTGAGAAAAAATGTACATTTTTATGGCATTAATATGACACTATCAACTTTGAAACATTTTATTTAATTTGTTATTCGTGTTTAGTATAGATGCCGAGGAATTGTTCAAAGTTACAAATCAGATTTTATGAATTATTCAATTGATTGATAATTTAAGAAATGATAAAGAAAAATACAAATGTACATGTATATGGTTTAAGAATAAACAATATTATATATTGAAAGATTAACCATAATTTACTGACTTATTATGACAATTGAATTCTTAAAATAATAGTAAACGTAAAAATTCAGTATTAAAATAGTGCATAAAACACAAAAAAGAAAAGCAAACAATATTCATAAAATCTGTATTTTTTTTTTATTAAAAAAGATATTACAATTAGTGTATAATAAACATTTATGCTCAACATGATCAACATGGTAATATAACAAGTGTCTTATTGTTACTAAGTGTGAACAGATACCTTAAGAGGGGGTCTTCGCTAATAGCGATAACATAATAAGGGGCAATTACACAAGTGTGGTGTTGATCATGCGTTACTCAAATGGATTATAAATGATTGTATACATGTATATCTGTTGCTATTAATAATCACGATCATAAAGAAATAACAAGTAATATTCTAATTTCTAGCATGCCAATCAAATTTATAAATAATTAACAATGTGTTTCGTTCCTTCGTTCATAAGTGATATACAATTCTGGTAAAAACCAATGAACCATTGAACAGTTTATCAACATATATCTACTAGTTCATCTGCACCTAGCTGATGCATTTCTTGCTTGGACGCCCTTTGATGCTTTGCATCAATGCTTTTCTTGTTTATTATTATAATTGTAACAAATATACAAATAGTGATAAAAAATATCAAAGTCTGTTTTTTTATTATTATAATTGTAACAAATATACAAATAGTGATAAGAATATCAAAGTCTGTTTTTTTATTGTTTTTTATTATTATTATAATTGTAACAAATATACAAATAGTAACAAAAGGGACTAATATTATAAATTAAAATATAGTAATATTAAATGCATTTTTTTTCATGTCAAATTAAAAAAAAAAAATGGTTTCTTTCAATACTGATAGAAGACTATTACCTGAATTTTAGGCAGGTATGAGGAAATTCACTATGCGAGTCAAAGATATAAAAGCTACTTGACATTGGTGATATATAAAAAGCTATTGTTAATTGATTTATTGGGAGATCAATACACTTTTTTGCTGAATTGCTTTAAAACCATTCATAAAAAAAAACAATACACCTCATGTTCAAACTGCAGACCAAAGTGTTGTTACTATCTATCTATAGTCTATGCTTAATGAGGGTCCATCCGCCCGTACGGGCACAAAATGCAGCTTTCGCTGTCGAAGACGGACCCCGGACGTGTCACCAGTCATGCCCTTAAAGAGTTAATTTTGTAGCACAAAGTGTTGATAATTTACCTCCGTGCATGACCAATAACAGAAATGAAATGTAACCTTATATACTAAATTTATAATTATTTCAAAACAACCAATATATCAACATGTTATTATTAAACATTTAAATTCATAAATATAAATTAAGAATAATTTTCAAAAGCAAAATTATTAAAGTATTATGCCTGAAATCTTCTTTATATTGACAAATTCAATCACTAATAGTATACTTGATATGCTGTGTTAATGTTATTCAAAGGATATTATGGTGGCTTGGAAAGATCTGTAAGTTTCATGTTAATAATATTATGTACATTTGTTCAAATATCTTATTCTTTTGGAAACTTTTTTCTTCCATCTTCCACAAGATTAATGACCTGTTGAAGATATGAATCTCTCAAGGAGGAACAGTCAGAGTTGAAATTAGAGTAATATAAGCCACTTATTACACCTAATACTGGGGATTTATATTTACAACCAGGTGTAAGCACTGGTACAACCCTATCTTTTTTCTCCTTGTCTTCTAGACCAATGGTTAAGGAAACTTCAAATATGAATTGGTCATATGTGCTTTTTTCTAAGTTATCTGTAATATATATCAAGATGTTTCTGCAAGAGTCATGTAGAGTTGCTGCCTTTTGCATTACAGATTGCCCAAGGCCAATATTACCAAATGTCTCTACTGTTAGGTCAGATATTCCAACATCATTGAGTAAATGTTGCTTAAAAAAATGTGCGCTCTTTGTATCATCTTTTGTATGAAGGATGACTAAGTCTATCATAGAGCCTGAAAATACAAGTTATTTTTGAAAATAACAAATTGTTATTTCGATATATCAAATCGTTATTTCTATATACATGTTTTTTTAGATTGTACAGAATTTAATTAACAGTTCTAGAAAGTTCTGGAAAGGAACAGTTTTCAAATTAAATCTTGAGTGAAAAGCTTTTTGCCATGCTTGTAATCATCCTGTCAGGTTGTTTTAAAACTTAGTTGTGGTATCAATTTTGAAACAAGGTACTGTGCCCAAGAACTATACTTAATTTTACATATATCTACACTGCTCAAGAACTATACTTAATTTAATATATTTTTAGTGTTAAAGTTGTCTGTAATTTTCCATACTTTTTTTTGTTCAAAGCATAACATTAAGTCATTACAATGTATCAATATTGAGAACAAGTGAGATGCACACAAACTATTTATTGGGAATCATTTCCCTAAACTGTCCAGTTTTGTGTTCTACTGGTTCTTACCTCTAGAGCACGGAGAAAGGGATGATACTGTCATACTGGAAGATTGTGAGGATTCATCTCCCAGTTCTGGATTAGGTGTTGGAGATCTTTTCCCATCTATTTCTGTTTGTGTCTGGGAGTCCAGGCATGGAAGACTCTGATCATCAGAGCCTTCTGTTACTTCACAACCTTTTGGCTTTGTTTGATCCGAATCTAGCTCGAGGCTATTAACTTCATCTAATAGAGACTCTAAAGACAAACTGTAATTGCTAGAACCTATAGCACTGTCTGTTTCACCATCAACTTCTGCCTTTGAAAGTTGTGTTTCATAAGCATGCTGATCTTTGGCCTCAGGTTCTTTGTAGTTTGACTGTGAATTTTCACAACTAAGTGCCAATTTTGATTTCCTGAGATTGGCATTTTTGTTCTTCTTCATTTCTGATTCTTGCATTTCAGTGCTGTTTTCAGAGTTCTGTGTGATTTTGTGTTCTGAAGATTTGATTATAACAGAGCTGGTTTCTGCTTTTGTTGTTTGTCCAGATTTGGTTAATGTAATGGTTGACATTCTCAATATTTACCTGTAAAGAAAACAGAAATTCTGCTGTAAGAGTGACAATTGTCATCATAGAAAGGCAGTTATTTAACACTCTGGTACAAACTTAAAATTTGATTAGGTACCTGCTAATTGGAGAGGTCATCAGACCTCTCCATAGTGTTCAGACTGATTGCTGGCGGCATCCATTTTTGCGTATCTGATTGCAGTGAATGAATCTCATTTTAAGCGTAAAATCATTAGGAGCAGTCTACAAAAATTGTTTTGGCGCATGCCCCGTTTCAAAAACACGGCTTTACTTAAAAACGAAAAATTAACATCGAAGTGAACAAATCGGTACATAGAAAATCGGAAAATATCATTTACGTTATTTAACACTACGTGCATGGATGCTTCATTCCGTAACTGTATAAATCGATTACCGTATTGTTTTCTGAAAAACGTTTTACTATTTCATGTTCTGATAAATAGTTACAGTGAAAATTATAGCTATGTACAATATCACCATGCACAATATATACCGCCTCCGTGGTCGAGGGGTTAGAGTCAATAACTTGTTAATCCAGTAAAACTCTCTGGCGTGGGTTCGATCCCCGGGAGATGCTTTTTTTTAGTTTAGCGCGAAGAAAGGTTGTCTAGTACTGGTGTAACTCTCAGGAACGATGGTTAGGAAACTACCCGCCTATATGACTAAAATATCTGTTGGGAAAAAGGCATACAATGAAACAAACAAACATATTATAATGACCGAGTGAACCGTGTATTGAACCGTTATATCTAAATAACGCAAAGGGAGATTTTTTGGCGCAAAATGGCAACAAATTTTATCTCAAGTTTGATTTTCTTTTTAATATTGTGGTTGGAGGCATGCAGCTTTATATACTGTTTATTCCAATAAACAGTATATAACAGTATAACAGTATATAACAGTATTTACTGTTTATTGCAATCAAATGATATCAACATTTTTTATGTAAACTTGTTTGATTAACAGACTTTATACTCGTTTTGGAAAATGTAGAGGAAATGCTTCCTTATATTTAACAAAACAGTGACCGAAAATTTGCTTATTGAACTTTACAAGAAACATTTATTTTGAAAATACTTTTAATATATATATAATTTTTCTACAAAGGTAACTGAATTTAAAATACAAATGTAAATGGTATATATCATTTAATTTACATTAAGTAATTTTACAAAAAAAATTTGTAGAAAAATTATCCCTAATGCGCCAAGAAAAAAGTCCATTTCTCCGGCATATAATCTTTTAAAACATTAAAACAGATGAAATGTAAAACAAACTTTCATTGCAATATATATAATAAATTATATTTTGTTTAATAATTCTAATTTATAAACATTCATTGTGTCTGTTATGCAAAATATCCCCAAATATTTTCGAATTAAACAAATTTTCCACAGCAGCAAAAAGACCTCTCGCATGCTTCTTTTTAAAGAAGCAAACTTGTAATACATTATTTCAATGGACACCTGAACACTAGTGAGTAGATACAAAACCAACCTTGAAAAAGCTCACATAAAAGAATCAACATTGCGACTTGTACCCATATTGGAAGTCTTGGATTAAGATTAGGATGTAGAGATATCAGAATAACTTTGAACAATTTGTTGCTTCCATTAAACTCTAAGCTCAATAGGAAGAACATTGAATTTGTAACCCAGAGGTTGCTGGTTTTTTCCTCAGGTGAGAAGTAATTGCATTGTGACAATAATCTTTGACATAATGTGTCTAATGGTCATTTGTTTTCCATCACAAATTCAGACATCGTTTGAGATAATTAGTCAGCCACTTATGCATAGAAATTGGCAATTAGTTAGTTGTCCAGAAAACTGGTTAGGTTGATTGTCAACACTGAGAGTATTATAAATGACCCAAAAATGTGTTAAAATTTCACAAAAAGCAGAAATTAAACAAACATAAGAAAAATTTATCAAAAATATTATGCTGATATTATCAGTATACCCCCAAATTTGAAAAATCATCAGATTTTATTTTGATTTATTTCAATCTATTGAATACCTTAATTTACAGATTAAAAATGTACAAAAGTATTAATTACCAGAATTGAAAATTTCCATTTTACAACCTTCCAGTTTGGATACTGAGACTATGGTACAACGTTATGGTACAACGTTATGCTATTAAAATTCACTGTGCTTCAAATGTGTATTATAACTGTACTGGAAACCCTAAATAGCGATATATTTATATACATAATTATGGGAACCCATAAAAACATTTTTGTTTTAGAAATAGAACCTTTGAATATTGTAATGTTAAGCGTAGAAATATCATTTATATTACCTGTGTGCATATGGTTAATGATATTCAAATCTTATTTCTTTCTGAATTTAATAAAAATGGTCTACTTTCCTTTTCACTAAATGGGAAATTTCCTGGATATTTTTAGAATAATGGGACATAACTCGTATTTGCTGAATAGTCCCCAGAAATAAAAGTTGTCTGTACTCAACACTATTAAAATCAGTTTAATAATTTTTTTTTTTTTCAAATTCAAATTCTTTATTTCTCTCAGTGCATTATACATGATACAAACATAAGGTATATAAACAATTAACATTTGTAAAAATGGCAAAATGTACATGGCAAGTCATTTACAGAGAACAATCGCAACACAATATTAAAAAAGATAAACCACCTATTGTTTGTTTTTATTTTCTTCTTTCATTATACCCCCACCACAAAATGTGGGGGGGGCTATAATGGATTCGCTTTGTCGCGTCGGTCGGTCGGTCAGTCCGTCCGTCCGTCTCCATTTTCGTGTCCGCTCTATAACTCCTATACCACTTGAAGGATTTTCTTCAAACTTGGCTCAAATGTTCACCTCAGCAAGGGGATGTGCAGAACCCATGTTGCCCATGTGTCAGCTCAAGGTCAAGGTCACAATTGAAGGTCAAATATCAAACACAATCATATATTAGACAGTATGTCGTGTCCGCTCTGTAAGTCCTACAATAATTGAAAGATTTTCTTCAAACTTGGTTCAAATGTTCACCTCAACAAGGGGATGTGCAGAACTTATGTTGCCCATGTGTCATCTTAAGGTCAAGGTCACAATTGAAGGTCAAATCAAACAATCAAATATTACACAATATGTCGTGTCCGCTCTGTAAGTCCTACACTTATTGAAAGATTTTCTTCAAACTTGGGTTCAAATGTTCACTTCATCAAGGGGATGTGCAGAACCCATGTTGCCCATGTGTCATCTTGAGGTCAAGGTCACAATTGAAGGTCAAATATCAAACAATCAAATATTACGCAGTATGTCGTGTCCGCTCTGTAAGTCCTACACTTATTGAGAGATTGTCTTCAAACTTGGCTCAAATGTTCACCTCAAACAAGGGGATGTGCAGAACCCATGTCACCCTTTTGCCGGCTTAAGGTCAAGGTCACAATTGAAGGTCAAATATCAAACAATCAAATATTACGCAGTATGTCGCGTCCGCTCTGTAAGTCCTACACTAATTGAGAGATTTTTCTTCAAACTTGGCTCAAATGTTCACCTCAACAAGGGGATGTGCAGAACCCATGTCACCCTTTTGCTGGCTTAAGGTCAAGGTCACACTTGAAGGTCAAATTTTGACTTAGAAAATGTTCTTAAATTTTAACATATATCTGAATATTTCTGAATCTAGGAAAGGTATTTGGTTTGAAATTAAAAATATATATGAAATGTCACAATTAAGATATGCTGGTCAAGTTTCATAACTCTGTATTGCATTTAAACAAAGTTATGCCCTTTTAATCTTCAAATTTACATACAATCACATATTAGACAATATGTCGTGTCCGCTCTATAATCCTATACTAATGGAAGAATTTTATTCAAACTTTACTCAAATGTTCACCTAAAAACAAGGTTATGTGCAGAATCCATGTCACCTTTGTTGCAGTCTAAAAGTCAAGGTCAAAAATTGACTTAGAAAATGTTCTTAGATTTTAACATGTTCTTGAATATTTCTGAAACTAGCACAGGTATTTGCTTGAAACTTAAAAGATATATGAGGTGTCACAATTACGATATGCAGGTCAAGTTTTATAACTCAGTATTGCATTTTGACAAAGTTATGCCCCTTTTTAAGTCTTTTTAAATTTACATACAATCAATACTAGAATATATGTTGTGTCCGCTCTATAAATTCTATACTAATGGAAGGATTTTTCTTAAAACTTTACTCAAATGTACACCCCAATTGGGCAATGTGCAGAAACCCATCTTACCCTTGTGCCAGCTTAAGGTCAAGGCCACACTTGAAGGTCAAAAATTGACTTACAAAAAGTTTAGTATATTGGGAAAATGTAAGGTTATTTGTAACTGTTTCGAACATGATTTGATAATAGATATTTATACTATTACCTGTACAATAAGTCTTTTTTTCAACAGAGATAATTTCTTTTTATGTATTTGTGCGACTTAAGTTATTTCCTTAACCACCTTTCCAAGTCGTCTTCTGTCAAGGACATTGGTGGGGGTATGAATCGCATTCAGCGATAGTTCTAGTTTAGTAGGGGAGTAATTTATTTAGAGTAATTTAGTGTAATGATTCTGCAGCATGATTAATATGTATAAAATACTTTTTTTTTCAATGAACAGCTGATATTTAAATTATGTTTGACCACGTGTTCTTTATAGTCTGAGAATAACATAAAATGATGTCTATTTCATATAATCATCTTTTGACACCTGTCAAACAGTTTAACAGTTGCACACATTCAACTCAAATTTTTTAACAAACTTATTTTTAGAGGCAATTTTTCAAAACTTTGGACGCAGTTTCTCTCTTATTATACCCCCACCACAAAATGGAGGGGGTGTTATAATGGATTCGCTTTGTCGCGCCGGTCGGTCAGTCTGTCTGTCTCCATTATCGGGTCCACTCTATTAATCCTATACCAATTGAAGGATTTTCTTCAAACTTGGCTCAAATGTTCACCTCAATAGGGGGATGTGCAGAACCCATGTTGCCCACAAGATCACAATTGAAGGTCAAGTATCAAACAATCAAATATTAGACAGTATGTTGTGTCCACTCTGTAAGTCCTACACTAATTGAAAGTTTTTCTTCAATCTTGGCTCAAATGTTCACCTCAACAAGGTTATGTGCAGAACCCATGTTACCTTTTTGCCAGCTTAAGGTCAAGGTCACAGTTGAAAGTCAAAAATTGACTTAGAAAATATTCTTAAATTTTAACATGTACATGTATTTGAATATTTCTGAAACTAGCACAGGTATTTGCTTGAAACTTAAAAGATATATGAAGTGTCACAATTAAGATATGCAGGTCAAGTTTCATAACTCTGTATTGCATTTTGACAAAGTAATGTCCCTTTTTAAGTCTTCAAATTTACATACAATCAAATATTAGACAATATGGCGTGTATGCACTATAAATCGTATACTAATAGAAGAATTTTCTTCAAACTTTACTCAAATGTTCACCTCAACAAGGTTATGTGCAGAACCCATGTTTCCTTTGTGGCAGCTTAAGGTCAAGGTCACACTTGAAGGTCAAAAATTGACTTAGAAAATGTATTTTAACATGTACTTGAATATTTTTGAAACTAGCACAGGTATTTGCTTGAAACTTAAAAGATATATGAGGTGTCACAATTAAGATATGCAGGTCAAGTTTCATAACTCTGTATTCCATTTTGACAAAGTTATGCCCCTTTTTAAGTCTTTAAATTTTCATACAATCAATACTAGACAATATGTCATGTCTGCTCTTTAAATTCTATACTAATGGAAGGATTTTCTTCAAACTTGACTCAAATGTTCATCCCAACTGGGCAATGTGCAGAACCCATCTTACCCTAAATTGACTTAGAAAATGTTCTGAAATTTTAACATGAATATTGAACATTTCTAAAACTAGAACAGATAATCATTTGAAACTTCAAATAATTATATACGAAGTGTCACAAGTAAGATATTCAGGTCAAGTTTCATAACTAAAAAACATGGTGGGGGGGGGGGGTAACTTTCTGTTGTATTTTGACAAAGTTAAGTCCATTTTTATGTCGTTAAATTTATTTACTATAATAGTTTTTAAACCAGAACAAATATTCACTCAAAACTATATAATATGTGAAGGGTCACAAGTAAGCTCAGTATGCAAAGTTTTTCCACTCCTAATTACATTTTATCATAATTATGCTATTTTCTTAACTTCACTGCTTTTGTTGAGAAAATGTCCACAAAACTGGATCCCGCGATAACTTGAAAAGTACTGAAAATATTTTTATGAAACTTGATAGATGGCAGTATGGAGATTATGCACGTCTTTTTTTTTTCTTCCTATGTTGAAAATTCTGGTTGCTATGGCAACAAATGGGCTGAAAATATGGCAAATTTTACACATAAACTGGATCCAGTGATAACGCAAAAAGTACTGGAAATATTTTTATGAAACTTCAAATATGGGTAGATGGCAGTCTGGAGATTATGCACGTCTTTTTCTTTTCTTCCTATGTTGAAAATTCTGGTTGCTATGGCAACAAATAGACTGAAAATATGGCAAATTTTACAAATAAACTGGATCCAGTGTTAACGCAAAAAATAATAGAAATATTTTTATGAAACTTGTAATATGGGTAGATGGCAGTCTGGAGATTATGCACGTCTTTTTCTTTTCTTCCTATTTTGAAAATTCTGGTTGCTATGGCAACACATAGACTGAAAATATGGCAAATTTTACACATAAACTGAATCCAGTGATAACTCAAAAAGTACTGGAAATATTTTTATGAAACTTGACATATGGGTAGATGGCAGTCTTGAGATTATGCATCTCTTATCTGTTCTTCCTATTTTGAAAAAATATTGGTTGCCTTGGCAACAAATAGGCTTAAAACATGGCAAATATAATAATATTTGTGGTTAGTCAAAAAGAGCTGAAATTTTTTATGAAATTGCATCTTTAATTCAAGAGTTATCTCCTCTTTAAGAATTTTGCTTTTAAAAATGTTATATTTTGGTAACAGGGATGTTTCAAATATTAACTTTAGAGTGTCCTTCAGTCCGTCTGTCTGTCTGTTCATAAAAACTGTTTCCTGTGATCACTTTTAAAGAACTTTTCCAACAAATTTACTTAAAATAGAGAAAA